TTTTTTTTTTTTTTTTTTTTTTAACTGCTCCTTTTTAGTAGCAGGGAGTTGCACCCCCTGGGAAACAGGCTCAGTGTCTCTTATAAAAAGTCGTTATCAAAATAGACATATCCTCACGTACTAGATTAAAGAAAAATAAATAAAAAGTAAAAATAACATTGATGCACCAATTGTACCCAATGGGACATTAGACTGCGGCCCAGGTAATTTCGATTGTTGATCTTTTGGAATCTGGATTCGAACTCGGCTCTGTATTTCCAAAGCTCACGGTTGCACCGACCGACTGCGTTTAATTGCTTCTCATGGCATCAAGGGTTGTTCTACTAATCCACAGTTGTCATGACTCACATTCATGATGCTATCACTTCCACCCTACCAGTAATTAACACATCAACGTTGGCTACCTTCTTTCCCCGGATACAACACGGTCATTATAGTTGTATTTAGACTGAAAGATGCCCCAAATACAGTTGTAATGACCGTACGTCGTATTCCGGGAAAGAAGGCAGTACCCCTATCAGTGTTGCAGCTACTTCAGCAAAACACTTAGACCAAGAGTTCTTGTACTACTCATTCCATTTTTTTTTTTTTTTTTTTTTTTTTTTTTTTTTTAAGATAAAACCGCATATCAAGCCCACTATCCTGGTGGTACTCATTCCATGTAGCAGTTGCCTTGCGAGAATTGGGGAGGAGGCACATGGGTGACGAGTCTTTAAAAGTCTTCACCCATGTGCCTCCTCCCCAATTCTCGCAAGGGCCAGGCCCCAAACTTCTCCTAAGAATGGGGCCCAGGCTTTTCCAAAGACAAACGCAACACCAGTGGTTGAAAGGGTAAACCATGTAAAATACTCGGAGAATGATTTGTTGGGCAAATTGTTTTTTTTTTTTTTTCTATTATCTTTTTTGCCTGGTCTTGTTTGACTTAAAAGTTCATAGAGTCTATGTATTGGTGGCAAGTTTCGTTAAAAAGTCTTTGGGTTTTTTACAAAGGTCAAGTGTGGGATCCGTTCTGATCATTCCCTACCGTCTTCACCCGAATATAACGCCTGGTCATTATAGCTATGTGGCACAATTTTCAGCCCAGATACGGCGATAATTACCGGGCATTCTATTTGGGTGAAGACCGTAGTATATCTGCAAGGCCGTTTACAAGGGGGGAAAACTCCCACCTAACTCTTGCAGTATGCACACTATCTATGGCAACGATCGCGAATTAGAGCGAAATTGTCGCGCTTCTTTTCGGAGGGTGCGACAAAAGCACGCTTTTTTGACCTCACGAAAACACGAGCCCGACGTACCACAATTGATGCCCTGCACAATCCGGAGGCGGGGGATGCAACACCAGCCCTAACCACCGCAAGGTTTACTAAGATCACACAAGACTTCTTTAAGGACCTCTTCTCGCCCCACGTACCGGACGTTGGGAGTGAGGCCCACCATCGGTGGATAGATGAATTCTTGGAACGAGTGAATAGAAAGTTGACAACGAAGCAATAAGAACTTCTAGAAGCCCCTTTTTCCATGCAAGGAGTATGGGCAACCCTCTTACAAATGGAAGAAGAGAGGAATTGATGGTTTTCCTATAGAATTATGGGAAACTACTTGGGACTTCATGGGCTATGATATCATGGAGTTCTACGAGGAAGTCTCGCGCACGGGGGAGATGGGAGAGGTGGTAGGTCAAGGAGTGTTATCTCTACTATATAAGAAGGGGCACAAAATGGACATCAGGAATTATAGCCCGATCACCCTACTCACGGGGTCTACAAGATGTTGTCCAAAGCCTTGGCAAATCGAATGATCCAGATAATGGAAGATGTAATTCACCCAGACCAGACTGACTTTATCCAGAAGCGGAACATACAAGAAAATATTTTGTTGGTACATGAGGTTCTGCAGCTGACCCACCACTTGAAACAGAATGCGGTCCTCGTGTTCATAGACTTCGAGAAAGCCTACAATCACGTAGACTGATTTTTTGGACAAATGCTTAGAAAGAATG